CAAAATGATGTAAAAATAAACTTTTTAATAAAAAAAAAATTCCTACTTTGTTTTAAAATTTTCACAATTCCAACTGAGTCTTGAAAAATTGAAATCAGTATATGAATCTAATCTCAGTATTTCATATGCTAATATATAATAATAATAATTTGTAATTATACATTATTTCAGTCTAACCTGAATTTGTGACTTTGGAGTGAGCCCCAGATTTCATTATCTATAGAAAGACAGTGGATCACTAATATTTCTTCAAGAGTTCTCAATTTTTTTTGTTGGTATGAGCATAGAAATAGGATCAATTACCATATTTTGGAACTTGACCCCAATATAGTAATGAGGGTGGGGGAAACTGATATTGTAGTGGAATCACAGAATATCCTAAGAGGCAGCTATAGGACTGAATCCATGCTAGAACTCCAGTTTCTAAGGGAAAGGGCAGCCATAGAGAAATCAGTACCATACTGAGAGAAAATATTGTAGACAGGTAATGGGTAAATTACCAGATAGTGAACTCAAATGCTTCAAAATCAGACTTAAGCCCAGTTATCAGAAGATAATTATTGGACTAGTATGAAAAGAAAAGGGCAGTAAATTATGGTGTTTTCTGCCTAAGGGTAAGTTTAGGGGCTGAACTGGTCACTCAGTAGGGATAAGATATATACTGAAGTGGAAAACCAAGCAAAACTTGACCTGACTTTTGGAACCTACTTAGTCATCTGTGTTTGAGACAATAATTGTAACCGTGAGCTACCTTGAAACAGTTTCCCAAAGAGTAAGTCCCTGTTTCCCAACCTGTTTCTTCTTTATTTCCTTCTTTTCTTAGCATTCGAAGGACCCAAGTAATTGATGATGAATCAGATTACTTTGCCAGTGATTCTAATCAATGGTTGTCCAAAATTGAGCGAGAAACTTTGCAAAAGCGAGAGGAAGAGCTGAGAGAATTTCGACATGCTTCTCGGCTCTCTAAGAAGATCACCATTGACTTTGCAGGAAGGAAGATCATAGAAGATGAAAATCCACTGGCCATGTATCATAGCAAGTAAGTAGATAGCATTAGAAAGGGTCTGAAAGAAGGGAAAGTTTGACAGTAAAGAATTTGCCCCCTCGCCCAGTAAATCTGTTATTTTTGTCTATTTTAAAAATACTCATTTGGCGAGAAAATAACAAAAATAATGAACAACCATATACCAGAGATATTTTGTGGGGGTGGAGTGGGGAATGGGGTCAAAAACGGGGGGGGGGGAGGGAAATGCATGGGACTATGGTGGTGGCACACGGGTGATTTGGTGATGGGAAACCGGGGGGGATTACAATCAAGATGGAAAAAAAAATGTGCAAAATGATGTAAAAATAAACTTTTGTAATAATTAAATAAAAAAATACTCATTTGGAATAGAAACATATAAAAATAGCTAAGACCATTCTGAAAATGAACACTTAGGGAAACTTATTTAACTCCTGTAATTTTATAAGAAACTTTTAAAAATAATGACGTACAATTTGGGCATAGAGAAGAGCAATGAACAAAGAAGAACAATGAACAAAGTAGAACTGTGTATATATATTGTGTGGAGGGTATATCTAAACAGTAAGGAAAGGATTAAATATATGGTGGCATAGCTTGAAAAAAAATCTACTAGCTGTCTACTGCAAGCCATCCATGATAATAAATTTGACTAAATAGATAAAGGAATAAGAAATAAAAGAATTCAGAAGCAGTAAAGAAATACGAGACTATAGTTGTAGTCTTGATGTTATCTAGCTTTTTCTAAGCAAGATGCAAAGCTTAAAAGTCAAAAAGGGTGGTGCGACTGGTCAAAGCACAGTACTCTGAAGTTGTCACAGCCCCTGCAGCACAACTTCAATCCCCAGCCAGGGAGGTGACCCACATGGTGTGGCAGACCTCTCCTGACCTGCCTACTGATCCCTTCAGCAGTGTATTTCAGAACATCTGCCTGTTATGCTCCTCACTCTGTCTCTGGTGAATTCTCTTGCCCCCACCCTCCTGCATCTCTGTTCTGTACTCCAGTTCTGTATGCATAAATAAATAAATCTTTAAAAAAGAAAAGAAAAGAAAAGAGAAGTCAAAAAAGATCTAAGATTTTTTTAAAAAACATATTGGTCTGGCCCTCCCTGGTGGCGCAGCGGGTTAAAGCACAGCACTAAGAAGCTTATGCCACTTCTGCATGGGTTTGATTCCCGCCTGCTCCAGAGGTGACCACATGGCGTGGCAGACCTCTCCTGACCCGCCTGCTGCTCCCCTCAGCGGTGTACTTCCTCAATCTGCCTGTTCTGCTCCCTACTCTGTCTCTGGTGAATCCTCTCACCCTCTGCATCTCTGGCCTGTACCCCAGTTCTGTATGAATAAATAAATCTTAAAAAAAACAAAAAAAATTGGTCTTTTGAGCAATGAATCCCAGTTTTACACATATTGAATCATACACCAAAAAAAGGAAAAATGTCTAGGGAAATATCTTTTTTTTTTTTTTTAGATTTATTTATTTATGCATACAAGGGGTACAGGCCAGCAATGTGGGGATGAGAGAAATCACCAGATAGAGTGGGGAGCAGAACAGATAGATCTACCAAAATAACACTGCTGAGAGGAGCAGTGGGTGGGTGGGTCAGGAGAGGTCTGCACACCACATGGGTCACCTCCCTGACTGGGAATTGAACTTGAACCACAGTGGCTGTGGACAGTTTCATAGTGCTACACTTTGACCTGTTGTGCCATGAAAGAGGGCCCCTAGGGAAATTTCTTCAGAAAAAAAACAACGAATGTGCATTTTATATTATTTCCATTATAAGTGCTCCATGAATATAACCAACCTACAAGGAAGGGAACAATAAGAAACCAGGGGGCTTAACCTCTTAGACACTGCAAAGCAGTCAGATATTTGGGATTAAAATAAAATTTAAAAGGGAGCCTTCCCAAGGAGAGGAATAAATAGAGCTTGAGTAGTTCAGGTGCTAGGATATGTGGAGAGGACACTCAGGCTATCAAACAAGCACTGTGAAAAAAATCATAGTATTTTATTTTATTTTTTAAAGATTTATTTATGCTTACAGAATTGGGGTACAGAAGTGTGGTGGGGGAGAGGATTCCCCAGTGACAGAGTGGGGAGCTTACACTGCTGATGGGAGCAGTGGACAGGTCAGGAGAGGTTTGCCACACCATGAGGGTCAGCTCCCTAGCGGGTGATCGAACTTGGGCTGCAATGGCTTTGGAGAGCTTCATAATGTGGTGCTTTAACCTGCTGCGCACCAGGGAGAGCCCCCACAGTATTTTATATAAGGTAAAGATTAGAGTACTGGGTCCTCCCTGTGGCACAATGGTTAAAGCACAGCACTATGAAGCTATATGCAGTCACTGCAGCAGGAATTCAATCCCTAGCCAGGGAAGTGAACCACATGGGTGCAGCAGACCCTCTCGCTCACTGATCCCATCAGTAACGTATTTCAGTCACTCTGCCTGTTCTGCTCCCCACTCTGGAAAATTCTCTCACCCACTATGCCTGTACCTCTGGCCTGTACCCCTGGCCTGTACCCCAGTTCTTGTATGTATAAATAAATCTTAAAAAAGATTAAAGTACTATAATGACAGAAAATATTTAAAACATTTTTGTCAAATAAGCACTACCCAACTTTATAAAGACCACCAACACATTAAAAGGAAAAAAATCCTTTGGGAAAATAAGCAGTGCCTCCCCCGCCCCCCCTAAAGCGCAGCACTGCAAGCTAGCCGCAGCAGCTTTAGTGTGAGTTCCATCCTCGGCCCGAGAGGTGACCCACATGGTGCAGTAGACCTCTGCTGTCTTGCCCCCAGCTCCCCTCAGCAGTGTACTTCATCATTCTACCTGTTCTCTCCACTCTGTCACTGGTGAATTCTCTCACCTCTGCACCTCTGGCCTGTACCCTAGTTCTGCATGCATAAATAAATAAATCTTAAAAATTAAAAAAAAAGAAAAATAAGCAGAAGGTAATTTATAAGTGAAGAAGTATATATCGCTAATCAACATTGGAAAAGATGCCCACCCAATACCAGAGAAATGGACATTTTTATTTTTATTAAAGATTTATTCATTTTTTTATGCATACAAGAACTGGGGTGTAAGCTAGAGGTGTGGAGGTGAGAGTGATCAGCAGAGACAGAGTGGGGAGCAGAACAGGTGAATCTACTGAGATACACTGCTGAGGGGAGCAGCAACAGGCGAGATAGAAGAGGTCTGCTATGCTATGTGGGTTTTTTAGCTCCTTCACTAGAGATGGAACTCAAGCCACAGTGGCTGGTGATAGCTTGTTAGTGCTGAAACTTTAACCCCTGTGCGATCAGGGAGGTCTCCATAATAGGATATTTTGAAACATAATACATCCTTAAGCTTACTGCAATAAATATAGATATATCTGTGTACATGTATGTTGTGTGTGTCTGTGTATAGATGTTGCATAATCTGTGAGTACAGAGAAATGGATATACTCTCTTATTGTAGATGGGAGTATTAAAATATAAGAGTGTACCCTAATGAAAACTATAGATTTGGGGTGATAATAAAGTCTATTGAAAACATTCTCATTCTCATTATGACCAACATAAAACTACCAACATGAAGTCACTGAATGTAGAAATTTAAAAATGAGCTCTTCCCTGGTGGCGCAGCGGGTTAAAGCACAGCACTATGACGCTTAAGTCACTTCCGCATGAGTTCGATTCCTGCTTGCCCCAGAGGAGATCCACATGGGAGGCAGACCTCTCCTGACCCGCCCCCTGCTCCCCTCAGCAGTGTACTTCCTCGATCTGCCTGTTCTGCTCCCCTCTCTGTAATCTTCTCACCCTCTGCATCTCTGGCCTGTACCCCAGTTCTATATGAATAAATATTTGTTTGTTTATTTATTGTTTTTTTATTTATTTATTATTTATTTATTTGTTCATACAGAACTGGGGGACAGGCCAGAGGCTCAGGGGCAGCGAGAGGCTTCGCCAGAGACAGAGTGGGGAGCAGAACAGGCAGATCTAAGAAGTACACTGCTGAGGGGAACAGCTGGCGGGTGGTCAGGAGAGGTCTGCTGCGCCATGTGGATCTCCTCCGGGGCAGGTGGGAATCGAACTCATACGCAAGTGGCTTAAGCTTCTTAGTGCTGTGCTTTCACCTGCTGCACCACCAAGGAGGGCCTAAATAAATCTTTTTTTTTTTTTTAAATGAGTTCTAGCCCACCACTGAAAGAAATCACATGGAGATCTCCCATTTTCTCTTTAGAAAATGGTGTCTCTGTCCTCTCTTCTCCCCTCCACCCCCCCCAAGCCAAACAGAACAGGGTCTTTGATGAACACAGTCCTTGGCCTTTCTTTTTCATACTTAGAAAATTCATCACATAGTTTTCCTAAAGAGAAGTTATTCTTCCTCTCAGAGTAATTCTACCACCAACTTCAAAATAATTCTTTTTCTCATCTTTTAATATATGATACACATATAAAAAGAAAAAATATTTCTGGTTACGGTTTAGGAATTTGTTTTTCTTTCAGTTGTATTTTCCAAATAAATGGGCATTGTCTTATTGTAATAGAAGTCATTTTTGTGTTCAGTAAAAAATAGTATGGGCTTTTAGAAGCGATTTGGGCCATATTTAAAAATTAAATCATGTATACTTTTTGATTATATAGCTTCACATTTGCTATAAAGATACCAGTTTCTTCATGCCCTTGTAAAAGATTTTTGCCATTCTGACACATGAAAAAATGTGTGGAAAGCATTTGAATAATTTGTATTTGTAATAATTTGTATTCATATTTCTTTACTTTGGTTGTTGCTGTTAAGTCTGAACATTTTAAAAATGCATTCACTAGCTAGTCGTATTATCTTATAGATTCTGAAATTCTGAATATATTTACCACTGTACTATGTCTGAAATCTGTTTCCTTCCTTTAGATCCCACTGTCCCCCATCTATTTTTAAAGATTTATTTATTTATTTACAAGGAGAAGAACTGGGGTACAGGCCAGAGGTACACGGGGAGAGAGAATCACCAGAGACAGAGTGGGGAGCAGAACAGGTGGATTTACTGAAATACACTGCTCAGGGCAACAGTGAGCAAGACAGAAACTGCCATATGTGGGTTAGCTTCCTGGCTGGGGCTTCTCAGGCCATTTAGGAGATAGTGCTAAGACTTAAACATTAAGTCACAAGGTAGGCCCTGCCACCCTCCACCTACTTTAGACTTACATGTTTCCTTTAAATTCTAATTCTTGTACATTTTTTTTTTAATTTCATGCCTTTGTTTCTGTTTTCCCTTGGTTTGGAAAGCCTTCCCCTAATATTTGTCATTCAAATATCTATCTCTCCCTTGAACCTGCTTGGTATAACATATGGGATGATATTATTAGATTGTGCCTGCTCATAGTAATAATTAAATTTCACCCATTTTTAAATTATTATAATAGTTTATTTTTACATTATTTTGTGCCTTTTCCCATCTCAGTTGTAATCCCCGTGTACATCCCATCACCAATTCACCTGTGCCCTGTGCACACTTTGATCCGATTTCCCACTCTACCCCCATAAAATGTCTCTGATATATAGCTGCTCACTATTAATTCACCCCACACACCACCACCCCCCAGTCCTTTATGCCTCCTGCTGTGAGTGAAACCATTCAGTATTTTTCTTATACTTTCTGGCTTATTTCACTAAGCATGATACCCTTCAGTTCCACCCATGTTGCTGCAAAAGGCATGAGTTTATCTTTTTGATTGCTGAGTAATATTCCATTGTATATATGTACCACATCTTTTTAATCCAGTCATCTACTTATGGGCATTTGGGTTGATTCCATGTCTTTCCTATAAAGCAGCAGTAAACATGGGGGTGCAAGTGTCTTTTTAAACCAGTGTTTTTGTGTCTTTTGCATAGATATCTAGGAATGGGATTGCTGTCACCCATATTTTATTAATCATTATAACTGTCTTTTAAACCTGTCATTAGATTAAAAAATTCTTGCAAGCATAAACCATGTGCTCCATATATTTTAAAGATTTATTTATTTACTCATACAGAATTGGAGTACAGGCCAGAGATGCAGAGGGTGAGAGGATTCACCAGAGACAGAGCGGGGAGCAGAACAGGCAGATCTACTGAAATACACTGCTGAGGGGAGTAGCGGGCAGGTCAGAAGTCTGCCATGCCATGTGTTCACCTCCAGGGCAGGCAGGAATCGAACTCACGCGGAAGTGGCTTTAGCTTCTTAGTGCTGTGCTTTAACCCGCTGCACCCCCAGGGAGGGCCTGCTCCATTTATATATAAATATTAAAGATTTATTTATTTGTACATACAGAAGTGGGGTACAGGCCAGAGGTTCAGGGGTGGTGAGAGGCTTCACCCGAGACAGAGTGGGGAGCAGAACAGGCAGATCGACGAAGTACACTGCTCAGGGGAGCAGAGGGCGGGCCAGGAGAGGTCTGCCATGCCACGTGGTCACCTCCGGGGCAGGTGGGAATTGAACTCATGCGGAAGTGGCTTAAGCTTCTTAGTGCTGTGCTTTAATCTGCTGTGCCACCAGGGAGGGCCTGCTCCATTTTTTTTTTTTTTAAAGATTTATTTATTTTTGCATACAGAACTGGGGTACAGGCCAGAGGCTCAGGGGCGGTGAGAGGCTTCACCAGAGACAGAGTGGGGAACAGAACAGGCAGATCGATGAAGTACACTGCTGAGGGGAGCAGCAGGCGGGTCAGGAGAGGTCTGCTGCGCCATGTGGTCACCTCTGGGGCAGGCGGGAATCGAACTCATGCGGAAGCAGCTTTAGATTCTCAGTGCTGTGCTTTAACCTGCTGTGCTACCAGGGAGGGCCCCTGCTCCATATTTTTAAAGTACTTTTACATATGAGGTTCCTAACGAAATATTTCTTTAATGGTATTAAGTCAAGGTCAGTGTTTTCTGTTAGTAGAAGCTTTATATTGTGCCTCAAAATTACTATCTACCAATGATTTTCAAGCTTTTGGTTATGGAATGTAGCAACAAGTAATGTGGGGCTAAAGAATAGAATAGAATGTATGATCTCTGCAGGACGTGTGATCTCTTACCAGTAGGGAACATTGCACAGTATTGAAATGAGAATCATCACGTTCTTTCTTATGGTTAAGCCAAAAATTTGAAACCTATGCTATAAGTACTGTTTAACATGGATGTATGTGATTACTCCTTAATTGTTTTATCTATAGTAGATGTTACAGGACTTGAGAAAGGAGTATGAACTTTTATGCTTGGCCACTAGAGGGCCTCTTTAGAACTTCTGGACCTTGAAGCAAGGTTAGAATTCAGTTCTTTACTGAGGACTGGAGGGTGTCTAATGTGGGCAGAGGAATAATTGAATGTATTGTGTAAATAGCATATCATAGAGACTTCTATGCATCAGACTATTTCTAGGCAACCTTTCTAATCTTGGCATTTCTGATGGTTTTATTAAACAGATGAATGCTTATACTATGCCCTTCCCCATTTTCTTGGTGTTTCAGAATTTGTCCTAATTCACATTGCTTAGGGTTCTTGGAATGAAGAGAAAGATGTTGGAGTGGTGGAGCAGGAAACATCATACATACACAGATTCCTTTTTGAATTTCAAATTTTATTACTGTTGAAAGTTTTTATGTGGGTAGATATACAGAGCATAGAACATTACCAATTATTGCATCCTTTGGTTTGTTATCACAGACTAGATGAGACAATACAGGCCATTGCCAATGGAACCTTGTACCAACCAATGACCAAATTGGATAGATCTTCTGATGAGCCTTTGGGAGTTCTGGTGAATCCCAACTTGTACCAGTCCCCTCCCCAGGTTAGTGGACCATTGTTCTAATTAATAATGAAAGAAGCTTGGACTCAGAAAGTTCTACTTTCAAGTGTTCTGTTTCTTAGGCTCTAGATGTTGATCTGCTATTTTAACACACCCTCCTGTCTTACTCTGTGGCCCAGTTTTTTTGCAGCACTCTGGCAAGTTGACCTGTATTATCTTCTGATTAATTCCCAAGAGAGGATTTTGTTAAATACTGTACAGATTTAAACAATAAGTCTTGTTGTTCATGTACTTTGTCTCATATTATATGGGTAGTCCAAGAGTGGTGTTTTAAATTAATACATTAATTTACATAGTCGTTGTCATTCATTTTATCATCAAGTGCATTAAATATCTACCATGCACAAGCACAGTAGTAAGTGATCAGTCAGATACTGCTCCTATCCTTAAAGACATTATAGATTAGTAGGGGGAAAGGTTACATAAGCCAGCTTTACTTACTATTTTTTTAAAGACTTATTTATACATACAAGAACTGGGGTACAAACTAGAGGTGCAAGGATGTGAGAGGATTCATCAGAGACTAAGTGGAACAGATGGATTGATTGAAATACGCTGCTGAGGAGAGCAGCAGGTGAGACAGAAGAGGTCTGCTATACCATGTGGGTTAGCTTCCTGGCCAGGGATTCAACTTGTGCTGTAGTGGCTGGTGATAGCTTGATAGTGCTGAAATTTTAACCTCTGTTCCACCAGGGAGATCTGAGCATGAACAGGGCCTCTTTTAATACTAAAAGACATATAAAGAACAGTGAAGGCCCTCTCTGGTGGGGTAATGGGTTAAAGCACAGCACCTCAAGTTTGTTCCCCGGCCAGTGAGGTGACCTACATGGCATGGCCGACCTCTCCTGACCCATCTGCTGCTCCCCTCTACATTGTATTTCAGTAGATCTACCTGTTCTGCTCCCCACACCTCTAGCCAGTACCCTAGTTCTGTATGCATAAATAAATAAATTTTAAAAAAAGAGCAGTGGAAACTCAGCAGAGGAAAAGTCTAATTCTTGCTGAAAGGAATACAAGAGGCTTTTAGAGGGAAGTTGGCATTCATTAAATAATGTTTCTTAAAACCTGTGGTTGGGCATGGTGAGAAATTCTTTCTAGGAAGAATTAGCTATGAGAATGGTTACATGAAAGCATGGATGATATATATGTGTCTACATATATACACATACATGTACATCATGAAAGCTTGTCTCTCAAAGTACATACACACATAAATATATCATGAAAAAATTTTACATATGTGGAATAGTGAATTTGGACTGTATAGATACTACTTATAAAAGGGACTATTATGAAAATAAAGTAGGATTAGCTAGGTAGAAAGAAAGCTTACAATTTCAGCTAGAAAGTTTTCACATTTTTATTTTATAAATAAATGTGAGTCATAAAAGGTTCTTAAGCAGAGAATCAGGGCAACTCTTTGACCAGCTTAACTGGAGCTATTCATTCAGCCTATATATATGCCAGGATTTTTGCCAGTTGCTGGGAAATTAAAAGGTAAAGGCCCAATCCATTACTTAATTACTTCAAATATAGTAGGAAAACAGGTTTTAAGTATACAATATTGCAGTTCCTTAGATAGTTACTATAATAGACACATGTCATGCCTATAGTAGATTTTAGGAGAGTGTTCATAAACTCACTAGAAGAGTCCCAAAAGAAATAGTGTCTAAGAGGAGACCTCAGGGGTGAGTAGTAATTTTCAAACTGACAAATCTGGGGGAAGAAATTCCAAGTGGAAGGTACAACATGTGCAGAGGCTTAGCAGCTTGAGAGCATTAAGGTATGGGAAAAGCACAAGTAACTGTTGGAGGTTCATTTTATTAGTAATTCAGTTAGTAGTCCAATATATTAGTTTCCTAGGGCAGCTGGAGCAAAATAATGGGTGGCTTCAGAGAACAGAAATTTATTTTCTTTCAGTTCTGGATGCTGCAAGTCTGAATCAAGGTGTTGATTGAACACACTCCTTCCAAAGGTTCTGTGGGGAAATATTTCCTTGCCTTTTTCATCTTGTGGTATCCCCAGGCATCCCATGTTTTGGTAGCTGTGTCTCTTTAATTTCTGCATCCTTGTTCATATTGCCTTCTTCTTGTGTGTCTTTATCTTTGTATGTTCCTTTGGATCCACTTTGGATTTTGTGTTTCTAATTCAGTATGACCTTATCTTGATTACATTTGCAGGATCTATTTCCATATAAGTTCACATTCACTGGTTCTGGGTGGACATAAATTTTGGGGGAGATACTATTTAATATAGGCAACATCTTATGAATTCCCTTTTTTTTTTTAAAAAAAAAGATTTATTTATTTATGTATACAGTACTGTGGTATAGGCCAGAGGACTGGTAGGTGAGAAGATTGGTAGGTAAAAAAATTCACCAGAGACATAGTGGGAAGCAGAACAGGCAGAACAACAAAGTACACTGCTGAGGGGAGCAGCAGTCAGGCCAGGAGAGGTCTGCTGCTCCATGTGGGTCACCTTCCTGGCTGGGTATTGAACTCGTGCTGCAGTGGCTTTGGAGAGCTTCATAATGTGGTGCTTTAACCCGTTGCACCACCAGGGAGAGCCCTCCCTTATGTTTTATACCAAGGAGTTTTTATTGTAAAGTGGACAAAAAGGAACTCTTGAAGAGTTTTAACAGAAGATTGGCATGTCCTCCATGCTTATGTAGAGAATGGACTCGGGGGACAGGGGAGAGTAAGACTAGAAGCAAGGAAACTGCTGAGATTATTGCAGTGCACAGTGGGGAGATGATCAGTGCCCAAATTAACATTGTGGCACTAGAGATTTATTTAAAGGCTAAAAATGTAGGTGAGGAGACCATTTGGCAGCCTTTTTGATAGTTTTCTTTTTTAATCGAGGTTACATTGGTTTACAATACTGTGTGAGTATGTGATTCAGAGGCATAGGATCACAACTCTCAGATGCATGTCAGCACACCACACCTACCACCAGCCTCCACCACAGTATATTCGTGTCTCTTCCTTCTTTGGCAGCCACACTTCTACAGTCAGGTTTCTAGAGTTCTTTATTGATTTGGTGGGTTGATTTTTTATTTTTTATTTTTTTTTACTTTTTATTTTAATAAGAGGTTAATTTAGAAAAGTGGCTGTGGGAATAGAGGATCAGATAATCAAAATAAGAGCTGCAGTAGAAATAGGCCAGAGAATTTGAATCTCAGAATTATTCAAATACTGACATTTTTATGAAATCACTTTTTTTTTTTTGCAATGAATCACTTCTTCCTGTCTTTCCATTAAGAACTTATATTCCTGTGTAGTATTTATTTATTTCTACCTTGTGTTTTGGATAGTTATTTATGTGTCTGTCTTCTACGAGGACTGTAAGTTCCTTGAAAGCAGGAATCCTCTTTTAAAAAATCTTTTCTATGGTTCTTTACTTTGTATGCTTTTCACATATTTAAATACTCAATAAATGTTGTTTTAGAGCTATGGCATTTGATTAGCATTATAAAATTTTACTGGAGAAAGGTATTAGAGATTTATTTAGTCCAACACCATCATTTTACAGTTAAGAAAACTAAAACTTTTATAGGTTAAATTATTGTATAGAGACTCCAGGTTATTACTGTATCATTATTTCCTTATAAATTATTTGGTAAGTAGTAAAAAATTAAGGCAACTAACCCCACATCTCACTATGCTAATAGAGTCTCTCTCTTTCTTTCTTTTATTTTTGAACACACCGTTTTCTTGTCCTGGGAGAAACTAACCTATGTCATTCTGTGACTGAATTAATGCCAGGACTCTTCAGTCTCCTGTAATTACCTGTACCCTGTAATTTTCTATTCTCTTTCCATGATGGGAACCTTGTTTCAATAGTGATCCATCCTCTCTTTTAGGGGACAGGTTGTTTATTTCAGGATAAGAGAATTCTTCTTGTATCCATTAATTAGAATTACTGTTCCTGATAGCATCTGTTTTGCTTTGTCACGGTACCAGCATATGGCCCTGCCTCTAAGCACACAAGGAATGTATGAACCAAAATGTTGAGTTCCTCATGACGCTTACTTACCTAATAGAATTCTATTGGAAATTGCTCAGACTCCAGTATGAGTCCACCATAAGTAAAAAGTGGAAGTGATTACAGATTAATATTCTGGTCTGAGAATTGTGCTGTGGCTGGAATATTAGGAAGTCATTTGTGGAGATTTCAGCATTCTAGTTATCCTGTAAAAGGGGACTGTTGTACCTGAGACTCCTACTAAATTTATTCTCTTTTTTTTCCTTATTTCAGACAAAGATGGGATACATTTTTCTAAGAAGATGTTCTCACTATGAATTCTTCATTACTAGCATTCATCTCATTTTGTATACCTACCCTGGTTCTCTCCTTTGTAGACAGAATTGTATGTTTGGTTTCTTTCCTTTACAGTGGATAGACCAAACAGGTGCAACTTCACAGAAGAAGATTTTCCATTCAGCAGGATCAGAGCTAGAGTTCAGTGCACATCGGCACCAGCTGCGAATCCAGGACCAAGAATTTCAGGAAGGCTTTGATGGTGGCTGGTGCCTGTCTATGCATCAACCCTGGGCTTCTCTGCTTGTCAGAGGGATTAAAAGGTAAGGACAAAAGTTTATTTTGGCAATGGAAGATCTTCATATGGCACAAACTTGTTCTAGAATTATGGATTGAAATTTCATTTTCCCCAATCTAATGTTAATACACTTAAGGATATAGAACTTTAAGCAATTTATTCATGTTACAGATCTTGTAGTTTTACTGAATTGCTAAAAAAAAAAAACTGAGGTTAGAAAGATTAATGATTCAAGTCATAAGAAAGCATAGACTACCTTTTTATTTTAATTTTTAGAAGGAAGTCTATTGATAAAACTTTTCTTAACTTTGCCTTTATAATATACCACTTAGGAACTTTATAATGTTTTGATGCTATTTGAAAGTCAAAATTTTTATGTCTATATTTTAGACACCAGCTTAAATGTGGTTTTGTCTTTAATTGTGTATCTATCTGGGTAACCATATTAAAAAGCTGTATTTCGGGCCCTCCCTGGTGGCGCAGCGGGTTAGAGCACAGCACAAAGAAGCTTAAGCCGCTTCCTCATGGGTTCGATCCCTGCCTGCCCTGGAGGTGACCACATGGCGAGGCAGACCTCTCCTGACCCGCCCGCTGCTCCCCTCAGCAGTGTGCTTCGTTGATCTGCCTGTTCTGTACCCCACTCTGTCTCTGGTGAATCCTCTCACCCTCTGCATCTCTGGCTTGTACCCCAGTTCTGTACGAATAAATAAATAAATCTAAAAAAAAAAAAAAGCTGTATTTCATCATAAATTCCTTTTCTATGAAACAGTGGGAGAAGTTGAGGTCTTACAAAGTTGAATTGTCCTATTTCTTACAGGTATTACAGCTTTCAGTGATAGTAATGACTCAGTATTCCATAGTTTTATGTGCTGCTTCTAGATTCAGTTTTACCTTTTTCTCGATTAGTTTTACCTTTTTTAAATAAATATAAACAGAAAACAGCTAGAAAACAAAAAAACCACTGTAATCTAGAAATAGTTTTCATTCACATTTTGGAGAGTTTATATCTTTTTCCTGTGCAAATTAATATATAGTTAGGTCATAATGTATATTTGTGTTTTTCTTCTTTTCATTTATTACAAGTTAATCATCCTCCCCCCATTTTATTAAGCCTTATATGTCATATGACATTATAGTAGTTTTAAGGTGTATAGTGATTTGGCATATATATGTATGTGTGTGTGTGATTCCCACAGTACCTTAGTTAACACCCATCACCTCACATAGGTATAACTTTCCTTTTAGTTTCTTATGACAACTTTTTTTTTAAGATTTATTTATTTATTCATACAGAACTGGGATACAGGCCAGAGATGCGGAGGGTGAGAGGACCCACCAGAGAGAGAGGGGAGCAGAACAGGCAGATGGACGAAGTACACTGCTAAGGGGAGCAGCGGGCGGGTCAGGAGAGGTCTGCCGCACCATGTGGTCACCTCTGGGGCAGGCACGGATCAAACTCATGCGAACTCATGAGGAAGTGGCTTTAGCTTCTTAATGCTGAGCTTTAACCCCTATACTACCAGGGAGGGCTTCTTATGACAACTTTTAAGGTCTAGTCTCTTAGCAACTTAAAAATACACAATACATTATTATTAACTGTAGTCACCATGCTGTACATTACATCTTCAGCACTTACTTACTTTATAACAACCACTTTTACCCATTTCCCTTACCTGCTGTTCTTCACCTCTGCATTCACCCATCTGTTCTTTGTTCAGTCTTTTTAGATACCACCTGTAAGTGAAATATATTATACAATATTTATCTTTCTTTGTCTGAATTATTTCACTTAGTATAGTGCCTTCAGGGCTGTCCATGTTGTTGCAAATGGCAGAATTCCATTTATTTTGTATATATACCACATTTTCTTTATTCATCTGTCAGTGGACACTTAGATTATTTCTGCATCTTGTCCATTCTAAATAGTGCTGCTGTGAAAATAGGGACATAGGTATCTCCTTTTCTTCTTATCTATTAGAATTTTCTATGTCTAACAGTGCCCAAACTTGTAATACCTTATATTTAAATAGAACTTTTACAATTTTCAAAGCAGTGAGTGTATGAAAAAGATGAGACCAATGTTATTGCCTTCTTGGACAAATGAGGACAGGCAAAGGAATAGTAGCTTAGTCTGAACTAAAACTAGTTTGAAACAGGGTAGAGTTCAAGTTTTCAAAGTATTCTTTCACTCTTAAGGTGTAAATGCTCTACTTGACTTTTGAGGTGAATTATTTCTCTACTTTTCTAAAAGAAAATTTATTTCAACATTTAATAATCATTTCTACCTCAGTTTTTGCACGATTAGCTGTGATCTACCTTTTTCTTTTTCCTTTTGTTCCCTCTTAAAAACCAGACTTTCTTGCTTTGGCTTCTAATTTTTTTCATATACAATGTGTGTAGTTCCATTACAGAAAATGCATGTAACATTTGAAGACCTAGAGCACCTAGATCTTCTGTATCTGTTCTTCTCATTCATTTCTCTGTAATTCAGGTGTCTTTCTTTTCCAAAGAAAACTAAACTACCTGACTTCTGCTATTGTGAGAAAACCAAGATGTTTACATTTCTCTTATCTTGTTGAGATCTATGTTATTCAGATTTTCTACTGATGAGCAGGAGCAGTGGCATCTAGCCCCAAGTCCTTAATCTCTCAGAAATAAAGTGGGTGGTTCTACCATATATGTGAAGCCATTTTCCAGTAATCCTATAGATTATTAGGTGTAGAGGGATGAAATATATTGGTTGATTCCTCATTTATTGAGCACCCATATATCTGGCCCTCTTCCAATTCATCTTTGAAAAGTAAGGATAGAAGAGATTCACAACTCTTTACCATTATAACAATGGTTTAACAGGGTATAGCATCAAAATACTTTATTTCATTTGTTGGGAACTAAAAAACAAATATCTTGTAACTGTTGAGAGTAAGGACTCCTGAATGTATTCTGTTATTCTACTTAAAACTCCTGTCTCACCTCTTGCTCTCCTCAGCAGTGTATTTCAGTAGATCTGCCTGTTCTGCTCCCCACTCTATCTCTGATGAACTCCCCTGCACTTCTGGGTTGTACCCCAGTTCTTGTATATATAAATAAATAAACTTAAAAAAAAAAAAAGCAAACTAGTTGCTTAATTTTTCTACAAAGATCATAATAACCCTTTTAAAAGACTTAGAGGCTATAAATGAATGCCCCTGAAAATTAAAAAGTAACGACAAACATTTTCATTCTTACATTCTATCAAATAATAATTGTAAAAGTGCCATACTTTTTAAAAAAAAGATCTCATTTATTTATGCATACAAGAGCTGGGGTGTAGGCCAGAGGTACCAAGGGGTGAGATGATTCAGCAGAGAAAGAGTGGGAAACAGAACAGGAGGAATGACTGAAATACACTGCTGAGGGAAGCAGTGTGCGAGACAGGAGAGGTCTGCTGTGCCATGTGGGCTAGCTCCGGGCTGGGGTTGGAACTCATGGGACTTCCCTTAACTTAATAGTGCTGAGACTTAACCCCTTGTGCCACCAGGAAGCTGCAGAGGTGGCATTCTTAGGGAGTTAAGTTTAGATGAATATTTTTCTGTTGAGAACACCACATCCTCCAGGAATGTTAGCCTCAGTTCAATTGACTCAAGCATTAATTTCAAAAGCAGGGTTTCCATTTTTGTGGATGCTGGATTTTGGAAATTCCAGGGCTATTGAAATCCCCAAATCTCAGTTAAAGAGATCAGGGTGGGGATTAGGCAGGAGCTCAGCGAGGTGGACTGTCTTTGTTCTATGATTAGAGAAACTAACAGAGTTCATACTCAAGTGAAGGGTATTATTGGAGAAATGTTTTTTCCCAAAACTGTTACAGGGTAGCCCAGAGTGGACTTGGACTGCCTGTCTGTGGGGCCTCACCTGTGCGCTCAAAATTCAGTTAAACTGCCGGTACACACAAAAGGGTCAATAACTGGTTTATTTACACAAAGGGTGAAGAAAAGGAAACAACCCAGGGAAAGAGAGAGAGATACAAAGTAGCTGGAATACTTTACCAGCACCAACTTGGAGCTCTAGTCCCAAACTGAGGCTGCTAGCCCCAGTCACAATGTCTGAGAGCAGTTGCTCCAGAGAGAGAACCGTTATCTCTCCAGAGTGACAGTTGGAAAACCGCTCCCTATTTGTCCCCAAAGTCCCAGAATTCCTGCTTAGCTCCACCCTTAGGTCCTCGCAGTTCTCTCCCTGGTACTGCTGGGAGTTGTAGTTTTCCAGTCACTGGAGTAGTGAGTGGAATCCAGAAAGCTGGAGTAGGGGTGGAGTCCACAAGACTCTGCAGAGTTCTTTTAGGACATCCTTCCTCCAAACAAAAGTAACCATCTTGGTGAGGGGTCATTTGTGCATCTCTTGACTCACCTGGATAATTTGCCATAAGGTCTGTTGTTATGATATCTGCCATGAAGTCAGAATTTGGATATTTCTTACAAATTTTTATTTGTTTAAGGGTGGAGGGCAGAAGTTGGTACACTCCTCACAGAGGGCGACTTTGGATTGCAGCCACAGCGAAAAGACCATCCCCTCAAGAAGTCTCAGAACTCCAGGCTACATATCATCTTCTTCGTGGGAAAGGTAGCACCTACATTCTCCTTTCAGCCTTACTCTCTGGAGCATAGTCACTACATTCATTTTCTGTCACTATGTTCTTCCTTTGGCTTTATATTTATTTCTTTAGCAACAAGTTGGACACCTTTTCAAAGCATTAATTTGCCATTGGTGAAAATAAAAGTAGCTGTCTGGAACATCAAAATCAACCAACGTGCCTTAATTTGTGAAAAAACTCTCCATATTTCTTATTATCAGAGTTGAATGACTAAATTCTAGAATATTCAGATTAGGGAGAACAACCACAAATAAGAATATTTTATGAGAAGTGACCCAAACAGACATCTGCCTTCAAATTTGAATAGATCAAAGTTGGTTGATTTGGGCAGTATATTTTGAGAATCACCCTAAACACATTTAATTTGGACCTTGAAAAACACTTGTAATGTTTGGATGGCATGTTTTTCTCCTCTTATCTAGCTTATATAGTTTTGAAAGTAGAATGAGGAGGTACTATAGGTCTGTAGAACTTTAAAAGTTCTTTAGAACCTTGGTTTCCAAGCTCAAGGAATCACCAGAAATCAAAAGTGTGTCTTTCCTTAAAACACTTTTTTATCTTGGCCATTAATGATTTACTTATTTTAAATTTATTTGGACATTTTTATGTTTATAGTTTTTGTTAAATTTTGTGATTTTTTTTGACATCTGTAAATTGTTTCTAAAATCTGTCACTACTAAAGTCCAGTCTGATCCAGTTGAGTATTGTGGAATTCATTATCTGGGTTGAACTTTGATGGCTCTTTGTGGGTAGTTTTCCCACTTTAGGAAGTGGACAGTTGGACCAAGCCAGACAACCGTTCACTAAATTGTTTGTTAAAATACAAACAGTTGTACCAAATAAAAGCCCCATTGTTTTCCTGTGTCTACAAATAGATAATAAAGTTATTTGTTCAGAATTATATATTGATGAGTTCTAGTTTTACACAGGAAATTTTTCCAATCCTTTTGTTACTCTTTCTTCAGACGTGGAATTTCCCAATGACTATCCTTCAGGGTGTCTTCTGGGCTGTGTGGATCTGATTGACTGCTTGTCCCAGAATCAATTTAAGGAGCAGGTGAGTAAAGAATATTTCTCTTGGACAGATACTCGATTTACCACCAAAATTCACCTGTACATCCTAAAAAACAATATTCTGAAAATAGTAAGATGATGGCAACTGATTTAGACATCTAAGGAGAATTAAAAGATTCTTACTAGGGCCTCTCAGGTGGCACAGGGGTTAAGTCACAGCACTATGAAGCTCCCCTCAGCCACTGGTGCTCCATCCCTGGCTACGAAGCCAGCTCATATAGCACAGCGGACTTCTCCTGCCTTCCCTAATTCCCCCTTCAGCATTTTAGTGAATCTTCCTGTATTTTAGTGAATCTTCCTGTTCTTCTCTCCACTAGGTCTCTGGTGAATCCTTGCATCTCCTTTCCCCCATCTCTGGTCTATACTCCAGTTCTTGTATGCATAAATTAAAAAAATCCTTTAAAAATTCCATATTAAAAAATATGGAAATAATCAGGGAGAGAGATGACCAGGTAGGTCAGAAACAGAAAAAATGGTGATGCTTTGGTTTCTGGTCATTGGGGACTGGTATATATACATTTCTACATAAAAAGCTACTGACACAATCCAGTTAAAAAGTATAGGATTCTCATGCCTTAATAAAATTTTCTGCTTTTGGTGAAAAAACCCTTCATTGTCCCATGAATTCTTTTCTTTAGGCAATGGGATCATAGGATTTGTTATTCATGGACATTTGGTTCAGGACAGAAATTTTGTGATAGGCAACTGTGTTTGAACTCTTGATTGTACTATATAAAATTTGGGGGAGGAGGGTATGTTTACATAACTAAACTACATTTTTGAACAGCAGAGGGAGCTGGAGGACTTTAACTTAATTAAGAAACTCAAATTTACTGCCTTCATGTTTACAATCAGACTAGCAGAAATCTATTCTTGAAACCTGAAATGTCTTATCAAATTGTGTGCATGTCCCATTCTTAGAGCAGTTTCTTTAGGTAGTAGAACTTCTGCAATTGTGTTTAAGAAGATGTATTTAAACTTTAATGTTCTCAATACTTTGTTTTCCAGACTTACTTGCTTTGCAATACTGCTATTACTGTCTGTGTTTTTATTATTAGATTTATTTTATTCTTTATACCTGCAAAAGCTGGGGCATAGACCAGAGGTGCAGGGAGAGAGAGGATTCACCAGATACAGAACAGGTGACTATTAAAACACACTGCTGGGCTCTCCCTGGTGGTACAGTGGGTTAAAGTGAAGCAGTATGAAGCTATCTGTAGCCACTGCAGCATGAGTTTGATCCCTGGCCAGAAAGATGACCCACCGGTGTGGCAGACCTTTCCTGACTGCCTGCTGCTCCCCTCAGCAGCAGTGTATTTTGATTGATCTGCCTATTTTGCTCCCCATTCTGTCTCTGGTAAATCCTCTTAGCTCCTGCACCTCTGACCTACACCCCAGTTCTTGTATGCATAAATAATTTTTTTTAATGAAATGCACTGCTGAGGGGGAGCAGTGGGTGAGACAGGAGAGGTCTGCTATGCCATTTGGGTCAGCTTCCTGGCCAGGGATTGAACTTGTGCTGCAGTGGCAATAGCTGCACAGTGCTGAGACCCTTTGTGCCACCAGAGAAGCCCTATTTTTTAAAAAACATTTTTTATGTAGGCATACAAGAACTGGGGTACAGGCCAAAGGTGCGGTAGGGCAAAGGATTCGCTAGAGACAGAGTGGGGAGCAGAACAGGCAGATCTACAGAAATACATTGGTGAGGGAGGGGAGCAATGGGTGAGACAGGGGAAGTTTGCCTTCACAGCCCTTTTCTGATTACTTTTATGTTGTATGCATTTTGGTGTAAGTTTTGTTTGTTTGATTAGCAAAAGTTTTGACTTAGCCTTTTGTTCTGTTCTCAGTATGTGAACTAGACCTAGGTAAAACTATTGACATAAAGATTCTTTGTCTTCCATATCCCAAACCCATTTTATTATCTTATAGGCCTTTTGCCTATTTTTCCAGTGTCTTTCCTTTTCACTTAGTCTGAAAGTAATTATAAAAATTCCTTCCATTGGTGAATCTCCCTAGTGGTGCAAGGGGTTAAGTCTCAGCACTATGACGCTCTCAGCAGTCCTGCAGCATGAGTTCAATCCCTGGCCAGGGAGCTGACCCACATGGCACAGCAGACCTCTCCTATCTCTCCCACTGCTCTCCTCAGCAGTGTATTTCAGTGGATCTGCCTGTTCTGCTCCCCACTCTGTCTCTGGTGAATCCTCTCACCCCTTCTCCTGTATTTCTGCCCCACACCCCAGCTTTTTAATACATAAATAAATAAATTGGGGGGAAAATTCCTTACACTAGTATAAGCTTTACAATTTTGGAAGCTCTTATAATTGTTAACAACTGAGTGTAATTTAATTTATTGTATTCTTTGTCCTTTTCTGTGTATGAATGTATCCAGAACTGATTTTAATGCTATTTGAGGACTTTTTATTAAGGAAGGATCTTCCCTTTTGGCTTCCCTTTGAGCAGTGTCTCAAGCAGCTGATCTACCTGTTTCTGATTGTACTCAGTTTCTATGATGTGAGAAATGTGATTGCTTAGTCTATGTGACCAAAATTTTTATTTGTACAAGAATGAGTTGAGAGTTTAGGAATGATAACTCTAGCATTTCCTAAACTATTCCATGGCATTGTTGTTTACTGAAAGAAAAAAAAAGGGTTAATTGAGATACATTTGGAAAGAATTTGGATTAAAAAATTTGTTTTGCAGAGCTCCTAGGGTGCTTTATATACTAGTTTGCATTATGACTCTGACATATTTGGTGAAAATAACGTGAGTGTCCCCCAGGTTTTTTTTTATATACAGAAGAACTGGGGTATAGGCCAGAGATGCAGGGGAGTAACAGAGTGGGGAGCAGAATGGATGATTTACTGAAACATACTGCTAATAGGAACAGTGGATAAGAGAGGAGAGTTCTGCTTTGCCATATGTGGGTCAGCTCCCTGGCTGGGGATGCTCAGGCCCTAGTGGTGATAACACTGAGACTTAACCCCTAGGCCACCAGGAAGCACCCCCCCCCCAATTTTTTGACTATAAAATTTCCCCTCCTTCCTCCACATACTACCTAGTTACATACTTCAAAGCTGGTATGTTGTGGCATACTCTAGGAAGTACTAATGTGGGTATGTTTGATTTTCCTTTATCTTTGTAGGTCAGCTCACTGAGGGAGAACATTCAGAAAACTGTTTCCTGACCTATGTCTTCTTTCTGTATCTCCACATACATTTTTCATAACCCAGCTGAACTGCATTTTCTTTGAAAATCTGTGCAGATCTAGTAATTTTTATTTCAACAGAAATTAATCTTCTATGTGATTTGGACCACATTTTACTTCTCTATCCTGTTCCTAAATTTCCTTTGCCAAAGAAACTCAATAATTTACTTTCTGACATCACATTCTTGGCCTTTCTTTGATTAGTTAAAATATACTAAACCCTTACTATTTTTAATGTAAAGTGTCATTTATTTTCTTTAAAAAAAATGAACAAAAATTTTTCTTAGTGATTGTTAAAAATTAAGTATACTACATAAGTGACTTTTAAACTATATGCTTAAAATATTTTCCCCTGAGCTAACAACTTGTCTTTCTTTTATCTTCTAAGTTTAGTATGTCTGGCTTGGTTGATTTGTGCCAGAAAAATATCCCACTAAACTCTCAACCCCCCTGAGTAGCATGATAGGGGATCTATCTAGACAAGATAGCGATGATTAAGAAAAGGCTGTGAGCTCAACTCTTGGGAAAAAGGTAGATGAGAGCCATCTAGTTAACACTCCTCCTGTATTCCCCTGGAAGGAGCCCATGCTGTTTGCCTGCCTTTTATCTGCCAGCAGCAGATGTAAGCTCTCAAAAACAGCAGGGAGGATGTTGACTGTAACAATGCATCAGGCTGTGGTTTGTAACCTCAATAGTAAGGCAGTTAAAACTTTTTTTTAACAAAGACATTTTGATTGCCAAATCCATAACCATTAGCAGCTGTGGTTTCAACAGTTCTCTAGACTTAACAAGTTTTCAAACAAAAAGTTGAGTTGGTGGCTTTTGTTTCTAGTGTCTGTGTTGTATTTGTGCTATTTATATCCCTGCCTTCAATAGAAAATCTGATTTGCCTGAAATCTCCAAGGTCATTGATAAGTCTGTTTCTTCTGAAATGAACCATTTCTCTCCTGCCAGCTTACTGATCCTTTAGTCCATTTGACCTTATGATTTTTGTAAAAGCCTGGATCCTGTCCTTATGGAATTATGGTGAAACACGTCTGCTGGGTGGCTATATTGACATCAGCACTAGAATTGCAATCTTTCCCTGGGAAAGAGAGTAGTATAACTTATCCTTTCTTCTATAAGAGTGTCTATGGAGACCTTCAGGAAGATTGCATATATCACTTCATTTGCATTAATCATAAGCTTTTATCACCAATGAACAGTATAAGTCTGAGAAATGAGAAATTAGGGAATGAATAAGCAATATTCAAGTTAGCCATTGTCCTTGAAAAATTCAGGGCCCCCAAATTCTTAAAGATGTGAAGATGTCCTCTCTATTTCACTGAGAAGAATCTGCCAATCCCTATACCTAAAATGGAAGTTTTTAAGGGATCATTAGGTCTGTATTTGAGACCCAGCAAAGAGGGGAACCATATCTACAACAACGAGTCTATTCCTAGGCAGTTGTTTAAAAATCACAGCTCACTTGAGACAGGAAATGTATTTTCAGACTTCTAATGAAGACTAGAGCATTTGTTAGACTTTCTAGATCAGAACAGACTATCTTTAGAGTTGTTGGTAACCTGACTATCGAGTTCTCACTTGATGATTTAAAAAAGACAGTATTTTTTAATAATCCAAAAGAGGGGTCTCCCTGGTGGCACAAGGTGTTAAGTCACAGCACTATGAAGCTATTGGCAGCCACTTCAGCAAGAGTTTGATCCCCAGGCAGGGAGCTAACCCACATGGCACAGCATGTGCCTATCTCTCCTGTTGCTCCCCTCAGCAGGGTATTT